CACACACACACACACACACACACACACACACACACACATTTAACCCCTGTATTGTCATTGACTTTGTTGTTATTGCAGTCGTGGCATCCGTTGGTAAAGTGTCAGCTGTCCGACTCGCTACCCTACGGTCGCAAGTTCGAATCTCAATCCGAGTGCGATATTATGCCCCGAGGACACCTCACACCGATGTTCCTCAAGTAACGCAAAAGGGAAATGATTTTGGGGACAAAACAAAAGCACGATAACTCCCTTCACTTCCACCAGCATCACAGCTGCTGTTACCTTAAATTTTCTGGCTATAAGCTGCGACAGTGTTCCTTCAGCTTTAAATTTAAACTGTAAACCCTGCGGCTAAAACAACGATGTGGTCTATTTGCGGTTTTTCCTGACTGCAGGAGCCTCATATTAGCACCATCACTACCTTTACCATAGCCATCACAAACAACAACAATAGCATCATCATTACCAACACCACCACCAGCACCAATAACAATAGCAACAACACCATCCCTACCATTGCCACTACAGCCACCACCACTACCGCCATCAATAACAAAAGCACCATCACTACCATTATCACAGCAAGCACCACCGCTACCGACAACAATAGCAACAGCAACATAATTACTACTACTACCACAACCACCACCGACAAAAATAAACTGCAGCATCACTACAACAACAACTACCATCACCACCGCCACTGCCACAACAACCAACAGCAGCAGCATCACTACCATTACAGCAACAACTACCACAACCACCACAACCACAACAACCACAACCACCAACAAACAGCATCACTGCAACTACCACCACAACAACTACCACCGCTGCCATCATCTCACCGGCACAACCAAGGCAGTTGCCACGCGTGGATGTTCTAGAAGCTTCGTCTCAATCCAGTCCGGATACACCAGATGCGTGCCGTGCATGATGACGTCACTGGTCCTGCCAGACACGTAGAGATTCCCGCCATGGTCGTAGTGGCCCAGGTCCCCGAGGTCGAGGAAGCCATCCGCTGTGAAGACCGCTGCGTTCTGCTCTGTCTTCTTGTCAATGTTGAGGTAGCCGCTGAATAAGCCAGGGCCTAGACGCAGGGATTTCAGTGTTAACAAATCGCTACCTCAGAACCACATACAAAGTTCTTCCTGACATCGTTGGCTGTTTTGGGTTACTAAGACCATGACCCCCCCCCCCCCCCCCCCCCATAACAAAAAAACCACAAAAAAAACCACAAAAAAACAACAACAACAACAACAAAACAACCAAATGTTAGGAATGCTCTATTAAAATCGTACGATTATCGATCGGAGTCGTTATCAGAATAGTCAATGAATTGAATTCGAAAAAGCTTGACATAATGTGAAACTGAAAATCTTTGACGTCAAATTTCTCAAAACTAGGTAAAGTAAAGTTGTTCCCGCATCCGATCCGGACATTGGGGATTGCCTTGTTAGTGAGACAACTTCCTCATTGGCCTTTGGCATATTGTGGTAGGGTATTGTGCAGAGAGAGAGTAGTAATTCTGAGGTAGTGAAATTGCGGTGGGTGGTACGTGTGCTCTAGTCAGGTTTGCTCTTCCTTTTCTACCAAACACCTATCGTCCTTTTCTCTGTTCTTTCGGATTTTTGCTTGTTTGTTTTTTGTTTGTTTGTTTTTTGTTTGTTTGTTTGATTTTTGTTAATTTTGTTGTTGTTGTTTTTTTAGGCGGGGGTGGGGGGGGGTGGGGGGAGGTGTTTGTGCGTTATTCTTTAGAAACTTATTTCATCTTTGGCATCTATATTACCTATCTGTGTTTTAGGTACAGAAAAACTCTTACTATATCTATCTATCTATCTATCTATCTATCTATCTATCTATCTATCTATCTATCTATCTATCTATCTATCTATCTATCTATCTATCTATCTATCTATCTATCTATCTATCTATCTATCTATCCATCTATCTATCTATCTATCTATCTATCTATCTATCTATCTATCTATCTATCTATCTATCCTAGGCTTCTGATCTGTAACACAGAAAGACACAGAAGGTTATTTTTACCATCTCCATCAAAATTCTACCATCTTAACCATCTTGTTACAAATATTCATAAGACCTTAGAACATGCATCTGAACAACATTTAGTTAGAGTCAGAATACTGAGTATGTATCTAGCTTAAGATTATTATTGTTTATATTACTGTTCATTTATATTCTGCATCTGACTGTAAGCCTGCGAGTGTGTGCATGTTTGTGAGTGCACGTGTATGTGTGTGTGTGTGAGTGTGTGTGTGTGTGTGTGTGGGTGGGTGTTTGTGAGTGTGTGTGCATGTGTTTGGGTGTGTGTGTGTGTACGTAGTGAAACACCAAACCAATGTGCCAGGATCTGGACAATAAAGATGTATCGTATCTTATCTTATCGTATTTTCTTTGAGAGAATGGAATGGTTCAAAGAGAAGAATCCCACGCAACTTATCCACTAATCCACATTTCATGCAGCCTGCAATGTGTATTGCCCTCTGACCTTTGACATAGATGTTGCCGGTCTGACCCACGGGTACTGGTTTGCCTTGCGGGTCCAACACTTTGACCTCTGTCCCAAAGTAGGATGGTTTCCCGCAGAAGAAGTCATCCGGAACAGAATCTGTACCAAAAAAAGCAATATAATGTAGAAGAAAACGTCCTATCCCCTGGCGTCTTAAGATTTCAAGTGAAAGATTTTATAGAACAGGATCATCATCATCGTCACCATCATCATAAAGTGCCAGATCTTAAAAACGGACATCGGTGATCGTGGTTCACCATCCAATTCTATACTGGCATACTCTTGAAAAACCCTGCCTCGTTTGCCTTTTAACTTTAAATGACAATTTTGCATTTAATTTAGGAGAGGTTGTCTCTCAATTAGAGGTACTGCGGGGGGCGGGGGGGGGGGGGGGGGGGGGCCCTGGGGGCCAAAGGCTAAGGGGCTGGGTCCTTTCAAAGGTCCCAGGTTCGCCGAAAAATTTTCTCCTCTAAAATTGTCTCCTTTCCCCTCCTTTCCTGCTCTCTAGCAATGTTTTGTTGTTTGCTTTCATTTCCACTTTCTGCCCCCATCCCCCCCAACCCCTTTGCCCCCCCTTTTGGGGTCTGGATTTTTTCGGAGGTTTTTTAAAGGTATTTTCTTGGCCCCCCTTTATTGTTGTTTTTTGCCCACCCCCCGTGCTTTTGGGGGGGAAAGATCTACACCTAGCCTTCTCGGACAAGGGCGAAATATCTCGGAGGGTCCGTGTGCAAGTTGCGCACGTTAAAGATCCCTCGGTGGTCTAAAATCGATAAGAGTAGGCTTCGGCCGCCACTCGGGCAAAATTCCAAATTTCCTACCAACTGAAAATATTAGGTGTGTCCCGCGTGCTCATATGACCTTATGCAGTTGCGAGCGCCGTAAAACACTTTACAAAAATAAAATAAAAGAGGTACTGGAAGTTTCATCGTTACTCATATACCCCCATACAGATGGACCTCAGAGACAATGTGATTGAATGTTTTTGGTTACAGAAACACACACACACACATACACATACACACACATACACACACATACACACACATACACACACATACACACACATACACACACATATGTGTCACGACATGGAGGAATCAGGCGCTTGTCAATTTTGGGGCATGTAGAGTTATTTGTATCATCATAAAGCTCGTTCATTTGTCTTGCTTTGGGTGAAAAAACTATCCATTTATCTTGAATACAAGTCAAGATATTTGCGAATAAAGGAGGTGGGGTGGGTGGGGCACTCTGTTCCAGAGGTGAGAAAAGATTAGACATATCCTTAGTTTGAGAATCTGAGAAAACCGAAAATTTACGTAATCAACGTTTTTCCTTAAAATCCACACATAAATGAGTTCTTCAATGGGCATGAAATTTGTTGAGCCAAAAAACAAAAATTCGATAAATTATCACAAACCTGCGGAAAAAAGCCAGTTTCTTCACTTTGATTATTTTGACGAGAGCCTGATTTCATCACGCTGCCCCACATATACAAACGTAGAGAGTGAGAGAAAGAGAGAAAGAAACAGAGAAAGAGAGAGAGAGAGAGAGAGAGAGAGAGAGAGAGAGAGAGAGAGAGAGAGAGAGAGAGAGAGAGAGAAGCGAGACAGAGAGAAGTAATCGTTATTTGAACCGTATAGTACTCGTGTTCTTTGTATTATTGCAAAGCACTTTCAGCACTTTCCTAATGGAAATGTACTATAAACGTGAATGTTATTAGATGTATTATCATTATTATCATTACTAATTATTATTATTATTATTATTATTATTATTATTATTATTATTATTATTATTATTATTATTATTACTAGCTGGGCCCCATTTCGATGAAAGGAATGATCCGTGCATTAACATCAACTGAAAATCATTGGCCTATATGTACACTCTACTGGAATCGAGCAATACCTCCTGAAAGATTAAAAAAAAAAAGAAAATAGATGGTTTAGATATAGTGATTATCAATCATGTGTAGATTGATTCTCTATTCCGCTTTCCTGGTAGTACACTATAGAATTTCAAAGGTGTGCAAACAGCTAGAGAATGGAAACCTCATTTGTTTACAATGGCGTCTTGGAAGACGGACTTTCTCAAGATTAGATCGAAACGAATCTAAAGAAAAACTGAAAATCAAACAAAAGTGACTTCGGGCTCAATAATACTGTGCACCCTTTAAATGATTCTGAATCCTTTTGTCAGATTTGAAAGCTAATTGGTTCGGAAGTTTTAGGCGGCCAAAGTGACGACTTTCACAATATAATATAATATAGATTATGGTGATGGTTTTTTAAAGTACAATATCACACTTATCTCTGACTTACCGGGGTAGATGGTAGCACAGGCCATGTAGCCCGCTTCAGAACATGCATAAGCCATTGTGACGCAGTGGCCAAGCAGGAAGCATTTCTGGAACTGATGCTGGGGATGGAGAAATAGATAGGGTCAACAGAGCTGGAACATTTGAGATATTTCGCCATCTCAAAAAAAAAGTTCTTTCCAACATTTCTTTCCGTTCTGAGGTGCTAAAACCATGAAGTCAGAAACCAAATGTCCTATCTGCTCTATCAAAATCCTAAGATTATTCGGAGTCGTTATCGAGATATTCAAAGAGCTGCATTTGGAAAAGCTTGATTGTGAAATTCAAAATCTTTAACATCAAATTCTTCAAAACTAGGTACTGATCCGAGAGAACTTTGTAGTTCTGGGGTAGCGTTTTGAAGGCGGCCATGTTTTTTTCTTCATGGAGGGGCAGAAGCCTCCTTTTTGACACGATTTGATCAAACCCTCCAAAAAGTTTGATTTTCGTGGACACCATACATTAGAACGGAATAACAAATCAGGCTGCTACTACACGTTGCAGAATCAGATCATTTTTTTGCGCACGGAATGCGATAGGCCCTAAAGGAATTCTGTGTCAACTTTGATGAAGCAAAGCAGGGGTCAGTTTGACATAGTGAGCACTGGAGCCGCAATTAATCGATCCTACCCAATTCGATCTAATTATGCAGATCGAGTGCATTTGACTTGTGGGCATCATCTATAACATTAAGATCTCTGTGTCGTCATCACTTTTCTAAACATCATTATTATGAGCGTGTCTTCAAGAATTGTTACCTACAAAAAAGATACAAAATGGTCCCCCCC